TCGTTTATTTTGTGAATGACGTCTGCGAACCTTCCTCTGGTTGGGTCGGTTTGACGCCTACAGTCATTTTAGAAGCTTCGGAACGAAGAACGGCATAAACCACCTCTCTCAATCGGATTGAAATTTCAATCCGATCGGGCCGAATCGGATCAGAATATTCCGATTGACATGTTTACACGCAGAATTTTTTATCTGAATGGGCGTTCAATCTGATTAAATATGCGCATGTAAACGTGGCTAGTGTCTGGTGAGACGGCAGCAAATCCTCACGCCTAGGCTTTATCTACAAACACGTCCGCCATTCACCTCCTCGAAACATCATCAGCACTGATCTGGATCTGTGGCTGGAGCCCAGTTTGGCCACCGGAAAGGGAAAGTCGGGTCAGAGGGCTTCTGGACCAGAGCAGGTATACGACTGAAACAGATCTGGGGTCCACAGACCAGTCCAACAGGTCACTTTACCATTATTGTTCTGGGCAGAAACATTATAATTATTATGTTTTATTATACAGGTTTGTGAGAGCTCGATGCATTCTGACGCTTCCTCCAGACCAGTCCCGTTGATTTAAAACCTAGAGTAGATAAAGACGCTCGTGCAACACACAGATGTTCACTGATCAGGTACCTTTGGTGTCACATTTGCATACAGCTGAAGCAGCAGCAGACGGAGAGCCCGCTCTGCGTCGGAGAGATTGGTTTAAACAGGGATGTGTTCCTAAACCTGAGGAAGCGATTACCGCAGGATGAAGGAGGCGGCCAAGGAAGTAATGACAGGATTTATGCAAAGCCTTGACGGTGTATACGTAGAAAACACTCTCCTCTTTGCTAATGCATTACCTGTAAAAAAGATGAAACTATTCAAACGGATGTTTTAAAGGCGGGTTGTCTTCGTGAAAACAAATCTTACCATCCCCCCGTTACATCCTCCTGATTAGCCTCTGGAAAGTCTGACTTCACATCCTTCAGGTCTAATAAGCTCACTCCAAGTACAGCCAACCGCGACTTTACTCCAACATTTAGCATTTACGGTTAATTTTAGGGAAGCACTAGCCGGTCCCAGCCCCTCTTCACCCCAGGTAGCCCGCCTTCACCCCAGGTAACCTGTCTTCACCCCAGGTAGCCCGTCTTCACCCCAGGTAGCCCGTCTTCACCCCAGGTAGCCCCTCTTCACCCCAGGTAGCTCCAGAAACGCCCTCTTGTTGCCACTTGTCACGTTTTTGCTTCTACATAATCGCAGAACTCTGTGTAAACGTCACAGAAACATGAAAATAAGTAAATCATCAGGACATTTAGGAGATCGCTGACTCACTAAACGACTCCAGAACAGTTGAGAAAACTGGTTTTAGGTATTTTTTGTGTCCAGCTCGTTGTGTTCCTCCAGAAGAAGTTGGGGTAACACCTGAGCACCGCAGCCACGGTAACCTGAGCACGGAGGACCCACACACACATCGCTGCATTCATTATTGAGAAGAGACTCGCTCAGGCTCCTCTTTCAAAGAAACCACAAAAGGAGAAGAAATAAAGGAAACATGACACCACACTCCCAAAGGTGCAGAGCACACACAGGTAAACTCATTCTCACTTACACACACACGTGGTGTTTGTTATTTGTCAACAATCTGTGACCGGTGGTTTCCATCAAATGCAAAGACTCGGGTGGCCGTAGAGAAAAATGAGTCATGCTTAATCTGTTTAGGTGTGAAGGATCTTTGATAATCTGCCTGCAGGTAACCACTGACGGGGTTTGAACGTTCGTCCTTCACAACACCAGCAGATCCACGCTCAGAGACTTGCTTTTACGTCCTCTGGCTTCACGAGGACCCGTGGAACAAGTCGTGGCATTTGTTTGGAGCTCGTCAGGATGGGATTATAATCCAACCACGACCGACTGAAGGACGGAGATCTACAGGTAACACACAACGATAACACAAGAGCCTGATGGTGGGAGTTTCAGATCAGTTTGTCTCAGGTGTGAGATTTTAAAACCTCGAAGACGAAGGACGTCAGTGTCGGTCTCAAGGCCTGCTCCCTCCCTCCCTCCCTCCCTCCCTCCCTCCCTCCCTCCCTCCCTCCCTCCCTCCCTCCCTCCCTCCCTCCCTCCCTCCCTCCCTCCCTCCCTCCCTCCCTCCATCCATCCATCCATCCATCCATCCATCCATCCATCCATCCATCCATCCATCCATCCATCCATCCATCCATCCATCCATCCATCCATCCATCCATCCATCCATCCATCCATCCATCCATCCATCCATCCATCCATCCATCCATCCATCCTATTTTATTTTCAGCCGCTTATCCGGACTCGGGTCACGGGGGCAGCAGCCTAAGCCGAGACGCCCAGATTCCCTCTGCCCAGCTCCTCCAGGGGAATCCCAAGGCGTTCCCTGTCCAGGTGAGAGACATAGTCCCTCCACCGTGTCCTGGGTCTACCTTTAGGTCTCCTCCCGGTTGGACGTGCCCGGAAAACCTCACCAGGGAGGCGTCCTGACATGATTGCCTAGCCACCTTAACTGGCTCCTCTCGATGTGGAGGAGCAGCGGGTCTACTTCGAGCCCCTCCCGAATGACCGAGCTTCTCACCCTATCTCTAAGGGAGAGCCCAGACACTCTGCAGAGAAAACTCATTTTGGCCGCTTGTATCCGCGATCTCGTTCTTCCGGTCACTGCCCAAAGCTCATGACCATAGGTGAGGGTAGGAACGTAGATCGACCGGTAAATCGAGAGCTTCGCCTTCTGACTCAGCTCTCTCTTCACCACGACAGACCGGTACAACGCCCGCATCACTGCAGATGCAGCACCAATCCACCTATCGATCTCACGCTCCATTTTTCCCTCACTCGTGAACAAGACCCAGAGATACTTAAACTCCTCCACTTGGGGAAGGACCTCATCCCTGACCCGGAGAAGGCATTCTACCCTTTTCAGGATCAAGACCACGGTCTCAGATTTAGAGGAGCTGATTCTCATCCCAGCTGCTTCACACTCGGCTGCGAACCGCTCCAGCGAAAGCTGAAGATCACGTTCTGATGAAGCCAACAGGACCACATCTTCTGCAAAAACCCTGCTTGGGCAGCAGCAGCTCAACAGGTTGAGCGGGTTGTCCAGTAATCGGAAGGTTGCAGGTTCGATCCCGGCTCTGGACAGAGAATTCTGTTGTTGTGTCCTTGGGCAAGACACTTAAAGAGCAAGTCACCCCCTACAAGAAACTTACTTCACTCCCACTTCATGTTTGAAAAATGCAACAAATGCTGTTGCTTGGCAGACCGAGAGGGCGGAGCCACTAACAAATACACACACATACAGGCTCACAATGGCATTATGGCATCATAATGTACCAGATGACATCACAGTATACCTCTTAGCCAATAGTGGTGGCAGATTTAAATTCAAATACAGTGCAGAATTTTTCCCTGACGACGGTGCAACACTGACAGTTTTAGGCAGAATATGTTAATTTTAACCAAGATGCACTGAACTGCCAAATTATTGACTACACGTGTCTGCAGCACGATTAGACACTCGTTTATATAGTTTATCAGCAAAAAATGTGATTTGGGGGTGACTTGCTCTTTAACCAAGCTGAACAGTACAAAATACACTCCAACTACAACTCCCAGAATGCACTGGAACCCGCAGCACCGTCACACATTCCCTCCCGCTGGCTGCTCGGATGTTTTGTGGAGTTTAGGACGCTCCTTTTGCTTTTCCAACAACGATCTTTGGATCCCGAAGCACGAGATTTTTCACTTTGTTGTAATATTTCATAGAAAATGATTTTTAAATTATAATTACCGACATAAATAAACTTCCATTTGTTTTTAGAAATGGTCAGTTCATTAACTCAGCGGCCTTGAAAACCTTCCTCCTCCTGGGAAACCTGACAACTTGATCTTACAACACCTGACAGGGCGAGGCTGCGAGGCCATTCATCTTCTCCCATCCTCCTCGTTTGATCCCTCAGCCATGTGACTTCAAAGGTTAAAGGCCGGGGGACTGTGGCGGTCCATGCACCATGCCTAACTCAGCTACAAAGGTTCTGACACCAAAACCTAAACAAACGGGGACACCGCCGTATGCACGCTCCCAGAAACATGCTCATTTCATCATTTCTTTGTTTTGAAAAACAAAAAAGAAGCTAGTGGACAGCTGGCCGGCTCTCCTTCCTGCATATTTAGCTTGAGTTGGGACTAAACTCAACGATCACGGGCAAGCTGTCCAGCACTGACTCTCCAGCATTACTCATACACTGCAACAATTAAAACATCAACAGGGAAGGAGAAAATATGTACATTATTCATATCTGTCCCCGAGGGAGACGGGCACTCAGAGCTAATGAGAGCAGGAAGCTTTGAAGTCATGGAGCCTTCCGTGAGGTGAGTAGCGTGAATTTAGCGCTGCCATCAGACACGTATGGCTCCATACGAACAGCTTCTAGACAACTAGAGCCTCAGCCGACCGATTCCTGATGAGACGAAGTCTCCACGTTCCACAAGGTGGGTCTGGGATCCAGAACCACCCTTTGTAATGTGGCAGGAAGCAGCTGACATCATAACACCACGAGGACACGTGCAGAAACGCGGGTTAAGTGTGCAGAGTGAACGAAATACTGAATGGGGGGTGTCTGTGGGCGAGCAGCAGCTTCACTAAACAGAAGAAGCTCTGCCCACCAGGCTGACCCCTCGCTCCATCACCGCTGGTGTCCGCCATCCGGCCCGGTCCCACGCTGATACACTATCTGCCTAAACAGATGCACATTCGAGCCTGCCGGCGCTTCTGGATCCGGTGCCCTGCTTTACTTTTAACCGCCTGCTGATGTTTTGTCCGTCACGGTGCTCCTTTTCACCCTGGTCTCCTTGAACAGGCGAAGCGACGAGATAACAAAGACCCACGCTGACCTCGCTGTTAAAGAGAAGCTGCTTGCTGATGAAAGGTCTGCGCGAGGCGAGACACAACACACACATCCAGAGAGGGTAAAGACGCTCTAAGTGTTCGGCCTACCTCCACAGGGAGCTCTCCAGCACCTTGGTCGAGTCAGCGTGGTAGTACTTGGTCAGGATCAGGATGACCTGCCGGAAAACAAGGTGGAGAGAAAACGTGTTGAGAGAACGGCTGCAGAGATGAAAGGCTGCGGTTAAACAGGCGTTCTTAGGCTGACATCAGCAGCACTCGACATGGTGAATGACCTGTTGTTCACTCCAACCATCGACCTAATCAGTGGCGTCAGATCTGCAGCAACGACCGTCGCCGTTTAAACATCATAGTTGTTTTAACATAGCAGTTATACTATATACTACTACTATATACCAATACTACTACTACTATACTACTACTATATACTATATACTACTACTATATACTATATATACTACTACTACTATATACTACTACTATATACTACTACTATATACTATATATACTACTACTACTATACTACTACTATATACTATATACTACTACTATATACTATATATACTACTACTACTATATACTACTACTATATACTACTACTATATACTATATATACTACTACTACTATACTACTATACTACTACTATATACTACTACTATATACCAATACTACTACTATATACTATATACTACTACTATATACTATATATACTACTACTACTATACTACTACTATATACTACTACTATATACCAATACTACTATTACTATACTACTACTATATACTACTACTATATACTATATATACTACTACTACTATACTACTACTATATATACTACTACTACTATACTACTATACTACTACTATATACTACTACTATATACCAATACTACTACTACTACTATACTACTACTATATACTATATACTACTACTATATACTATATATACTACTACTACTATACTACTACTATATACTGTATATACTACTACTACTATACTACTATACTACTACTATATACTATATATACTACTACTACTATACTACTACTATATACTATATATACTACTACTACTATACAACTACTATATAATGGGCCATTCCCATCTGTACCGGGTCGGCCCGGGCCGGGTAGCGTAGGTTGTTTACATATCTGGGTGGCCTGGTATTTTTCCGGGCCAACCAAGGCTCATTCTCAGCCCTCTTCTGGAGGGGGTCTGCTTCAGGCCGACCAGGGCCAACACACCCACTGCTGACAGCAAATTCACACCTTCCATTAGAGCAAGCCTCTGATTGGTGGGTAGAATCAGCCCACATGGGCTTAAGACAAGGATGTGTGGAATCAACCGGGCCAGGCTGGGGCCGACTGGGGCTACCCGGCCCGGGCCGACCCGGTACAGATGGGAATGGCCCATAATATATATACTACTATACTACTATACTACTACTATATACCACTACTATATACTATATATATTACTGCTAAATACTACTACTACTACACTATATATAATACTACTATATAATATACTACTACAATATACTATATATACTACTAGTACTACTACTGAACTACTACTATATACTACTACTATACACTATATAAACTAATACTTCTACTACTACTACTACTATATACTACTAGTATACACTATATATACTACAACTATACTACTACTATATACGACTACTATACTACTACTATACACTATATATACTACTACTACTACTACTATACACTATATATACTACTACTACTACTACTACTATACTATATACTGCTACTATACACTATATATACTACTACTACTACTACTACTATACTACTACTATACACTATATATTCTACTACTACTACTATACTACTGCAATACACTATATAAACTACTACTGCTACTACTGTACTATTACTATATACTACTACTTTACACTATATATACTACTACTATACTACTATTATATGCTACTACTACTATACTACTACAGTATACACTATATATATTACTACTACTACTATACTACTACCATACACTATATATACTACTACTGCCACTACTATACTACTACTATATACTACTACTATACACTATATATATACTACTACTACTACTATATACTACCATATACTATATATACTACAACTATATACTACTACTACTACTATACTACTACATACTATATTTACTACTACTACTATAGTATACTACTATACTACTACTATATACTACTACTACTTTACTACTATACTACTACTATATACTCTATACATACTACTACTACTACTACTACTACTATATACTGTACTATATCACTTGTAAGTCGCTTTGGACAAAAGCGTCTGCTAAATACATAAACATTTTACACTCTGGTCCGTTTTACGAGCAGGTTGCGTTTCTCTTTGCTTTAACATAAAACGAGTCATTTTAGTTTCAGACAGTAAGAGTAGCTTAGCATCTAGCTAACGCTCATCAGTCCTGTAGGGTCCAGGTTCATAAAGAAGCAGCTATAACTATGCTAACTAGCTTTAGCCAGTCTAAGCTGCTGCTGCATTAATGTCATTGTGTCTTTGTGGGAGGGGCTTGTTGCACACCACTCTCATCTCAACAAAGGGGAGACAATGTATTAGGTTACCAAGCAGCAACAAATATATATTTATTAGACTCCACCCACCGCTTATTTTAGTCCTTTAATCTCATCAGTGAGCAGATTAAACAGAGATAAGGAGATGACTTCAGAACACATGATTTAATTCGTTAACAGAGCCTAGCATCGTGGGACAATCATGAGCTGTCAATAGAGTAAATGCATTATTCATAGAAGTGAGACATCTTGCTCTGAGACACACACCCTGTGTGCACAGGATCAGATGTGCTTGTCTTTCAAACATCTTAGAGCTGCTCTGCTTGACAGCGAGGTCTGCTGGGATTCACACCGCTATGGCAGGCCTGCCAGTGGGTCAGGCAGCGCAGCGAGGGCCGGAGGTGTGATTGACAGCCTGGTAAGAAATTCTAGGTAGGAGAGCTCACAAAGAACCCGTGCTGGCCTTCAGGCTGAGGTGAGCTGATTGGCTGGGGGTCCTGCCCTGAAGGCAGCTGCCAAAAGTAGGTTATTCTGAAGTTGGCTGCCTCAAGCAGCAGACTCTCTGTAATAAGAACGCTCCTGAGGCGTGCTAATGCGATTAGCATGCATCGCCTACTTTATCGTGATGCCTCCAGAGATGGTGCACCATCATGGCTTTTGTTTCCAAGCTCCTGGCTGACCAGGACTTCTGTGTCTGAAGAGTGAACGGTGACGTGAAAGGCCAGCAAACAAGGAAGTTAGCTTTTGGTTAGCTTTTGAGCGTGACACGAGAAAAGCAGTTATTACTCCCTAGACTTCCAACGACACGGCTGCAGGCACAATGCTTTCTAAAACAAGTTTTTATCCCGTCAGATCATCTGCATAAGCCCGAAGGTCTCTGATCAAGGCCGCATGGCCTGGAGCACTCGGGCTGCAGAAGTGGACTAACGAGGAGCCTCGTAGACGCAAGACTTAGATCCAGATTCGTTTGTTGTGTGTTATTAATAAACGAATCTGAATCTCAAACCTGCGCATGAGTTTCCTCGTTGATCCACTTCTGGTCTTAACACAGCCAGGATTAGTACCTTCACCAGAAACCGGAAACATCTAGTCCTCTACATGTCTACTGCCCTCTAGTGGAGGATCTACATGTGACAAGAGCTCATTTTATTTCTTTATTCCTGTAACTTTAATTCAAATAAAACTGATTTGCAAATGAAAAATTAGCAGTTTCAAGATAAAATATATAATTCTATAATGCAGCTTTTAAATGTTAACTATTCAGATTCCTGTTTATTATTATATGGTAAATTGGGTTGCCAGTGTTGGAAGGTGGCTTTTCAACGTAGGGCTACATGTTTGTGCATTATACCTAATTAGAGTGAACTTTAGTGAGGAATACGTGCATTTTTGTAGCACTTTGTTGCTGTTTTTTGGCTATTTAACATGTTTTTGAAATACTGATACTATCGGGTATTTGTAGAGTATTTTAGCATCCTAAAGCCCAAGGCAACTTTCCAGCTGTTGGTGAATTCATCTCTGCTACAGCTTCAAGCCAAGCTTGCACTCTAAGTATGGTCATGAGTCAGGAAATTCAACGTTCCATCATCTTTATTTTAATGTCAATAACAATTTTTTTTCCCAACGAGTAATTAAGACAACCTTCATATCTGAATTTGAGACGGATCAATCATGTGCAGCTCTCCGAGTCACACAGCACGTAGGACGTGATTGGCTGCTGGCCTTCACTGACTCAACTGGTGTCTCTGAAAACTGGCTGTCCGCCTCTGCACAGCTGTCCTCCTTCTAATGAGACACTGGTGCAAAGCTTGACACTTCTCATGCAGGCAGAAGGTCCCTCGACACGAGGATTAGATCTACCAGGCTACACTTTTAGTGCCCGTGCCTCCTGAGCCACTTTTGATTTCTGTGGTCCGTTCGCTTTTAGCCTCCATTCGAATGCAAAGCCTTGTTGGTTCATGCCGTGCTGCTTGTTTTATTTGGAACCATTTCAGTTTCGACACACGCATGAGAAAATTCAAGGCTGTGGCAGAACAGCCTGGTTGTGTAGACCAATGCATTAGTCGTGTGTTGTAGGACAGAACGGACACGCATCCCATCCCAGACTTGGGTTGGGAACAGCCAGCGCCAAACATCGTCTTGATCTTTCTTCATGGTCTGAGAAGACTTCCAGCTTAGGGTAATTTATGAAAATGCGATCATCAAACTGGTCTACCAAATGACCTGGAAGTGAAAGGGCTAAAGCAACTGGAGTGGATTAAAGTGTTTTAGAGGCAAGCGAGGGAGCAACAGAGCACATTATAATTCCAGGTCAATAGAAGAAGGATGAAAGAGAAAGAAAACGTGTTTAAGAAGCACAACAAAGTCGATGAGATGAACGGTTTGCACCACTGAAAGTCTTGTTGACAACTGAGCTCTTACCATTTCATTTTTAGCTTTTAGTTTGGATCTTGGGACATTCGGGGAAACTGGCGGGTAAACCGTGGCGCTCTTGCATATTTAAATAACAGCCTAGCATATCTTGACAGTATACATATAACCGACTGCAGCCTGAATGTCTTTTTTACACACTGTGACAA